CGCCATGATGATATTGATTATTGTTGTTATTACTTGTTCATAGGGTTTACTTGGCAAAATCTACACGGGTTTTGCCATGGCTTTTCAGGGGCTGAGGGAGTGTGCATGCATATTTTTTATTTTATTTTTTTAATTTAAAAAATGTTTTATTTATTTATTTATTTATGGTGCTTTGGCCTCCCAATTGTCTGAGGGATAGCAACCCGGCCCCCGGCTCAAAAAGGTTGCCTACCCCTGACCTAGAGATTCCTAGAGAGGTGTTCTCTCAGGTAAAAACATTGTGTTTTTGTTATTTGCAGTTTTTCCACATTCACAGGGGTCTTGTGCCTCTAACCCTAGTGAATGTGAAGGGACAAGTGTAGATGAGGTTTCCCTATACATTGGTGGGTGTGGGATCACAAATATAAAAAAGTAAATGCCAAGGAAAATTCTTTTGAAATTCTTATGATGATTTGGGATTCTTTCAACTTTGTTCTGTTTCAGGCCATGCTAATTGTCTTGATTTGTTCACTATATTATATACCACTAGCAGCATGTTAAATTATCTTGGACACACTCTAATAGCATTCATTTTCCCATTGCCTATTTTTTGATATCATGTTGTTCCTTCTTGTCTCTGAATCACATTAGATGAAATGTTCAATTGCTTGCTTGTTTTATCATTCTGTTTTCTCAGTTCCAATTCTATCACATTATAATCTCTTTGTATCTTTTACATTTTTATATTCAGTTATTATTTTCCTCCTCTTGCTGTTTCATCCCTTTGCTGTATTTCTTAATTCCTTCTCATTTTATTGCACCATAAATCTTCATTAACTCTGTGCATATGTAGTTCATAGTACACTGATATCATATGGGCTAGGATTATTTATCCCTAGCATTATTTTATCTTCTTTTCTTAGCTGATCTTATACTTCTGGTTTTGACATGAAATGCAATTTATAATCCCCTGGAGTAACATTTTTTTCCTGACCACTATTGCTTGTTTCTTCTTTTTTTCTTTCTTTTTTATTCCTAGGCCAGGATATCCCCCTCCATGATACTTTGAAACAGCAGATGGAGTAAGTGATGGTCACTGCTATGTAAAAGCTTAACATAAATGCAGAAAACTATTACAGTATAATCTCAGCTCTGCATCCAATTACTGAATTTAATTGTAAATAAATGTTTTTAACTATTTGTTTTAATTTTTCATAAGCTGCCTTGAATCTTAATGTTGGGGACCCAAACATAAATGAGACATAAATGAAATAATCCTCCTCCTCCTCCTCCTCCTCCTCCTCCTCCTCCTCCTCCTCCTCCTCCTCCTCCTCCTCCTTCTCCTCCTCCTCCTCATTTCAACTAGTTTAGACCCCATGAAAAAATGGAATTTACATCAATCCTGACATACTATTCTGTAATCGATTGAATGGGTTTATTCTAGTTGGGACTAGCAAAACCAGAACTTTACCTTCTATTAAATCATGGGTGGGAAACTAAAGCCTTCTAAATGTTTGAGGCCACAACTCCCCACAGCAACCATGCAACTAAAACCATTCCAGAGTCAGGGTGCCACTACTAAGCATTTTCTTTATTTACTGAAAAGCCACATCATTTTTTTTATAACATCAAACATAACTATTCTATTCTGGTTTTGACAGAGATGGGAAAGATTACTTTTTTGGTGTATATCTCCTCTAATCTCTTAGCAAGCTTGGCCAGTAATATGCAGAACACTAGCCATGGATATGGAAAAACAAATAAACTACTGATCTCATTTTTTGAAAGAAATCTAACATTAATGTTTCCTTCTAGTTTAAACATTGTTGAGTCTAGTAGGTGGCATGACAGGCATGTTACTCTGTCTCAGTCGTGCCTCCTTGCTGAACTGGCATGGAATACTCAGGAAAGTGAGTTTGATCTCCATGCCCCCTTTCTTCTAGGTTGAGGGATCCAACTAAGGGAGGGGGGCAAGCCCTGATGTCCCCAGCATATAGTGTTGTTCTTCTCATCTTACTTGACAAAGTGATGTGGGAAGGGGGAGAGCTCTTGCACTCTCTCATTCCTACAGCAATTTAAGACAATTGCATCCCTGTCCAAGTCTTTAGGTCACTCTCTCTCTTCTGACTTGTGCAAGTAATATTCTAGTGAAGGGTGTGGGGAACATGTCCATTTTTCTGTACCCCACTGCTGCTGCATTTGCTAGTGTGCTCCCAAATTTCAACAGTGTGTCATTGGTACCTCCTGTAATTTAAATAAGGTACATGGCAAACGTGGACCTTGATTTTAAGCTGACACATATTCCAAGAGTCAAAACTTGGCATCAAAACAAGTTGCACTAGGTAGCACAATAGAAGCAGTCTATAGCTCATAATGTAGGCTAATTCTGAGGTGACAGTGTGCCCATTCTTACTAGACATTTCCCATGTTTTCTAGTGCCAAGTTCCAGCCAAGCCATTGCTACTTATTTAGTGCTTTCGTGCCTCACAATTAGATGCAAGTGCACCATTCTATGTTCTATACTACAAAAACAGCAAATAGGGCTTGTTTCCTCCACCATAAGCTCCACTGGAGTATCTGCCAAATGTGGGTTTTTTGGGCTGTGTGGCCATGTTCTAGAAGAGTTTCTTTCTGATGTTTCACCAGCATCTGTGGCTGGCATCTTCAGAGAATGCTGGCGAAACATCAGATGCTAGCGAAACATCAGAAAGAAACTCTTCTAGAACATGACCATACAGCCCACAAAAAACTACAGATGCTGTTCATGAAAGCCTACGACTTCATATCTGCCAAATGCCACTTTCAATGTTATATATTATGCCTTCCTCAATAGAGAGGAACCCTGCCATGAAGGAGTGAGAAAAGCCAAGATTTAAGTTTGTAGAAACACCAGCAAACCTAACCTATCATTCTGATGTAATCTACAGCTCTGCCCTCCAAATGACTGTGTAAACCACAGAGGAGTTATGGCTAAACCAAAGCAACCTGTCTTGTTTCAGCATGATTGCCACATCATATATTTTAAGAAAGAGGAAGTTGCCTTATACTAGGTCAGATGATCAGTTTAGTCTGGTCCTGTCTTTTATGAACCAACTCCTGAGGCAGATACTCTTTCCCATCAGTTTCTATTTCATATTTTGAATTTTAAAAAACCTGATGGTTAAACATGCTTTTTTCCTTTTTGCCTGAATGAGAATGGGTGCCAGTGTGGTGTAGTGGTTTGAGCACTGGACTACAACTCTGTAGACCAGGGTTTGAATCTCCACTTAGCCATGAAAACTTAGGCAAAT